TTCGGCTGTTAAAATAATTGTGGAACACCCTGTATATATATATATAATACGATAATAGTTATATATAGTTATTATTATATAACTATTATTAACTATTATTAACTATTATTACTAACTATTATTATATAATAGTTATACAGCGAAGTTGTATGTAGTTCCCAAACTACGATCAATTTTTCTTCGAACAAATCGTGCGAGACAATGTACCGCAACACTTGCCAAATTTATCATAATTAAAGCTAGCCTCGGCGAAGCTCAACAGGTCGATGATCTCGAACAAGATCACGACCTGATCGTTATCGGTTTTCAGCAACGAATCGAAATTATGCTCGAAGACGATCTCCTCCTCCCACACGGGCACGATGGACCTGTTCTCTTTGAAATCGAACGTGCTGGTGATTATCGGCTGCAAATAACTGCTGGATCCATTTTTCAAATATTTCCCAGTTTCGGCGTACACGATGTGCACCTTCACCATCGGGTGCTTCGTCAAGTAATCGATCTCCAACATGTCCGCTCTATGGATCGTAACGGAAATATACTTGGCGCCATGTTTCTTTTCCCTCCTCCTCTTCGAATCCTCTTTGGCCACGTCGGAATACGGACTGGTCAGAGAAGAGCTGGAAACATTTTTAGATACTTTCCTTTTCTCGTTCTCGCTTCTCGAGCCACGACGATCCCCCGATTTTCTGCGATTTACATCGTCACCCTCGGTCGTCGACGGTACAGTTTGGCTAGCATAACCTTGACCATCGATAGAACGCTTTTTAGACGTTTCTCTGTTCTTCGCAGAACGTCGATGTTTCGTCGATGTTTCCTCGGAGGACTGATAATTCGATCGAACGGTCACGTTTCTCAAGGACTGCGATACGTTCGAATTATCGGATCCGTCGTCGTCGTCGCTTTCATCCGAGTTTCCTCTCGCATTTTTCGAAATCGCGCGTTTCCCGCGCTCGTCGTAACCGTTCCCGTTTCGTGACCGAACTTTCCTCGATGTTTCGTAGCGTTCGAAATTCGAGTTCTCCGACTCGTCTAAGCTTTCGATAGTGACAGCAGCCGCGTCCGGTATTTCTCTACCGCGCGGCGAAAGTGTCGAGTTATCGAAATGTTCCTTAGCGAACTCCCTCATCTCTATCCTCACATTTTCCCGGCCGTTGTAATCGGTCTCGATTCGCAGTATTTCCTCGTCGTCCGAGACGAACGCCGCGTTGTCGTAAGCCGAGAACGACGCTTGTTTCGTATCATCCGGGGATCGCGTCAACGGAAGCTTGTTTTCGGTGGACGACGCCCAGGAACCGCTTCTCGGTTCCGGCAAACGAATTATCGAAGTGTCTTTTGACCAGCGTTTCCGCGGCGGCTTTTTCAAATCGTCCGTTTGACGTTGCGGTGCCCCCCACTTCCCCTTACCGCGCGACTTCCGTTCGGTGGAAGAACACTGGTCGCTGTTCTTCTTGGACAATTTTCTTTCTCCTCTCTCGTCCCCTTTCGCCGTCGTCGAATTAACCACCTCTATCGTGTCTATCGAATCGTCGATCTCTATATCGTCGTGCATCTTTTTGATACTCCGAGTTTGAACCTGGCCGAATTTCTGACGGTCGCTCCTCCTGTCGCCGAACGCGTTGGTTTTCGAAAACATTCTGACACCTTCGGTTCTCTCGGAGGTTCTGGTACGATCCGAATTCTCGCCGGACTTTTCCGATTTGTATTCTCGGTGAATATCGACGACAACGTTCATCGATTTGGATGCGAACTCGTCTAGATCCGTGGAGCCTGCGTTGTCGAACCTGTGCACCTCGTTGGTGTCGAATATTTTCACAGCTTTATCTACATTTTTCGGGGTAATCGCTTTATCTACAGAAACGTGATGCTCGGTTGAAATGTTCGCATCGTTATTTTTCGAATGCGACTTATTATCGTTAATCGCACGCGAATTCATTTCGTCTTGAGGCTGCCGTTTTTTTCTCCTTGCTAATGTATTTTGTAATCTTAATTCCATGGTTTCGCTATTTAAATTCGAAGCTTGAGTTTTTCTCATTATCGACTAGGATCAGAGCTCTTCTTCTTTTTCCTTATTGCGAGGTTACAAAGTACATTATCGAGAGTATACAATCATCTTCCCGAGGTGATACAGAACAAATATCGGAAAGGAAATTATATGCGGTTCGGTAATCATTATATTTGATGAAAAGCGTGCTTGTAATACATGTGCTTCTGCGAAAAAAGGATTTGGTGACAGCAAACAAAACGTACGATTATAAGATAATAGTTGTGTGATAATGTGACAGATTTTATAGGGTTTTTTTCTCTTATTTCTTACGCAGAGTCATTCAATATTCGATTCAGTCTTCCCAATTGCATGGCTACGCTGGATTTCTTAGAGGTTATGTGACACTCGACCGCGTATGCTCCGTACATGTAATACATACTCCCCCTACTCCCCGATCGAATGCACCACTCAAAAACTATTTCGTTATTTCGTATACGCATATTGTATTTCCATGTGTTGCGTGTCTCGTGAAACTTGTTACATTTTTATAACTTTTAGCTTTGATGTTGAACTGATTTTTAAATGTCATGATTTTAATCAAATTCACGAGAATTTAGAGTTTTTCACTTCTACATGTAAAGCATATCGAATAACGTTGAATAACACAGAATTCACGTTGATATCGATAATTAAAAGACGCCAGGTGTTTATATGTGTTTGTTGAAAGGTACGTTACAGTTACAAAGCTCAATTTCTACACACATGTGCATACTGTTACGATGCGGGTGTGCATCGATCGATGTAACAATGTGCATACATACTTTTTATAGTTACATTATTGCTTGCACTGAATTTCAACGTAACGAGATCGCACAAATTAAAAACTAATGAAATAAAATGGAATAGATTTTATTGGTTTATTTGTAATGAAATAATAATCATTAATAGATTAAGATCTTCAATTAGCTACACCATTCGTTAGATGTTTGTCATTTAATTCTTCATTATCTTTTTTCGTTTGCCTTGCAATTTCCTAACAAAATTCGGTCAATATTTTAATTTCAGCGCAACCTATGACAACAATTTTTACACAAATTTTAATTGTACTCACTGTTTCTATAGCATTCTCGTATTCTTGTTCGCAAATTTTTAATACTGCGTCATGAGTGTCTGAAATTGAATGTTTTGAATCTAATTTTTCATCGATTTTTGTACCTCCTGTAGAATAATCAATTTCAATATTGGTATTTCGAAGAGATTTCATTTTCAATCTCAATTCTCTATTCTTAGCTTCTATCACCTTCTCTCTGCGTGTTTCTCTATCGAGTAGCTGTTCATTTCGATAATATAAATACAACAAAACGATAAATATTGGATTTTTCCTGAGATTGATATTCTTCATTTTTTATATAATACCGATTAAACTTACTGTAGTGAACAAAAGCTTGTCATTTTTCTGATTTGTTGTCAGAGCTTCTGAGAACTCTAGCAAAAATGTTGTTCCTTTTTTATTAGCAACTGCAGCTAATTGTCCTTGTTCGTGAGGTCGTATACATGTTAGAACTTCATCGCAAACCTAATGTTTGTTATATTTAGAATATAATATTAATATTAATACTGCAAAAAGTAGCATACCTTTATACTCAGAATAGGAGAATCTTGTTGAAATAGTAAGTCCCATACGTCTAAAGTTCCATCCATTTTTATTAAAAAAAATACTGAAAATCTTGTTACACTCCATGCTCCTCCCATTAAGAAATTTCTGTGTCCACTGAAACATAATGGGAATATCATTTTAGCAAGTGTTATTCATTAGAATAATTATATATTTAAAATTGGAAGATATGTTTACGGTGTCCAAGCGATACAAGATTCTTTACAATCCTCGGACCATATCCTAGTCGTCCAATCACCAATAGTAATAAAATTTTTCACAAATGTTGGATTCCTTTCCAATCCTATAACAGGCCCATATTGCGCCTTGAATCTAGTTGCAATCTTTTCACTCGGAGTTTTACCTTTACGATTTCCCGAGATTACTACACCTAATTATAAGAATATATAAGTATCTAAGATAAAAATACAAATGAAATATCCAAACCCCTTATTTACCATTTTCTAATCCGCACATGAATCGTGTACCCATCGATGGTTCAAACTGTAATGCAGAAATTCCAATTGCATTATCGACATTTTGGTCTTCAGGTTTGCATAAATCTATCACTAACGTTTCTGTTGACTTCTGCAATTTCCTAGTATCCCACCACATTATCTAAAATTTATATATTTGTTTACCCACACATTTACGCTTTTATTTTATCGCTACATTACCTGACCATCTTTAGAAGCGCTAAAAAATTCTGTACCAGTTTTAGAATTGATCCACAAAACTTTATTGCATACATCTCTGTGACTAAATTCTATCGGACTTATTTCAACTGGTTCAGATCCCTTTCTGATGTCCCAACAAGCTACCTGACCGGTTGTTAATCCACTTACTAATACATTGCAATCCTTAGGATTGTATTCCAATGTTAAAATTGGACAGAATGGTTTTAATGACATACATGGAGTATTTGGATTTTCTACAGAATTATTAAATTTTTTGTACTAATTTATTTCGAATGATTCCAGTTTAACGTACCTACATCCCAAATATATGACACTGGATTATCATTTGCTTTTTTCTTGAAATCGGTGTTACAGTAACTGGCAGCAAAATAATTGCCCTGATCCGGCGACCAAGAAAGATGTGTTATTTGTCTTTTCATTGGTAAAACATCTCTATATACATTAACTGTGCGTGAATAGGCTCTCTGCGTTAATGAAACAGGTTCCATGTAACTAAAGTACTGTTCATAAATGTTACAAGTGTTGTTTTGTAATATACAATGTTCCATTGGCTAGAAATACTTTGTATTACTGTTAATGTTAACATTAGTGTTACAAACAAAAATGAAGTAAAAAAGTAAAAGTACAGGTAATAACTGGAGCATGGTGTGAATATACAATTCATCCTTTTCTATTTTACGCTTGTAACGAACTACTTGCTCTGTGTCTTTCACATTTAAATCTTTTGGCCAGCCACCTTCAGAATGAGACATACCACCATCTTTGAATGTTGCAGTATTTGTATTCACCTAGCAATATTAATAACAAATTACCGTATATATTTATATAAGTTACTGAATTATTTATTACCTTGTGAGCAGAATATGTTTTCCCGCATTGGGTTCCATGAGTTGCAGGATTTACTTGAACATAATTACTTGTATATCCCGCATGAGGTGTAACATCTACTAATACATTTTCATGATCTGAAAAGCTACACTGCCCACCAAATTGCAGTCGTTTTTTCGTATAAGCATATTGTAAATTCATATTCTTTATATACTTCAATTTAAATTCTGTTTGTCATAAG